AACACCGTGAATTGTTTCCAAAATGGTTTTTGGAATATGTAAGTTATAAGTGTTTTGTATTTGACATATATATTGTAGTATTTAATTTTCTGAAACTAATATGTGAATGTTTTTAATTAATATTAGGTGAATAAGTTGAAATCAGAGAATTCCCCCTCTTACAGTGAAGAGTTATATAACTTAGCATTCTGCCCAATTAGGACTGAATTGTTCTCGGGTTGTCATGTTAACGGCGTCAAGTTTTTGGGAACTGCACGAGATGACAAGTTGTGTACGCAAAACAGCGGTGTCCTTGTTCTGGGTGGAGGCGAAAGTACGGACATTAATTTCTATGGCAAACTCACAACTGTCGTGCAATTGCTTTACAAAGACCGATACCAAGTGATCATGTTTAAGTGTCGATGGTTTGATACGAACCCAAATAGGCAGGGAAGTGTTAAAATTGATCATGGGTTACTATCTGTGAACATCAACAAAACTTGGTATGATGACAACCCCCAACCGTCGACGCCCCCTAACCAAACCACAAACCCTCTCTCCCTCCCCTCACTGACCTCAAATTCTCTCCCTCTCTGTCCAATCCGAACCCACCATAGGTGAAATCCCGCAAAAATCCTCAACGGTGAAATCCCACGGTCTCTGTCACCATCTCCATCTTCCTCTCACGGTCTCCTCCAGGCGTGTCTCTGTGGGAAGGTATAATATATGTTTTATTTTTCTTTCAATTATGTTAATGCATTTGTGATTTTGTTTTGCTGTTTCGATTTCTCAATTTAGTTTGTACGTGTTGAAATTGCTTAGTCTGATGGTTGGTTAGGATTTTATGTTTTTTTTTTTGTTACATTGGGAGGAAAGAAACCCCTTGGGGTTTCGAACCTGGGTTGTCAAGCAGGGGGAAGGGGGAGACCACCACTGTGGTACCTGGGTTGTCAAGCAGGGGAAAGGGGAATGCAATCTGAAAAATAAAACAAACCTAAACCCTCGACGTTAGGATTTTATGTTTCAATTTCCTTTTTGTATTGGCTTAGTCTCTGTTTTTCTGTGTTTTTATTTTTTATTTA